GAAGGCGTCGACATGCTAGCCAGCCACAAACCGGTCGGGCCATTGGACGTGTCGACCAGATCGTGTGCGGCGAACCGGAGGCGGTCTGTCGCCAGTAGGTGGAGGAGGCCGCACTGTCTGAGGCGGGGTACAGTGTTGAGGTGAGGGATGGTCACTGTCGTCGATGTAGGCCGGCTTGACGCGATCAATGCTGACTGTGTCGGTCTTGCCGATGCGATCGATGACAACATCTTTGTCAGATCGACGAAGGACTCTATACGGCCCGTCATAGGGTGGTTGTAGTGGCCGCCGGACAGCGTCATGCCCAACCCAGACAAAATCGCACTTATCCAGGTCGGGAGGGACGAAGGAATTGGCCGGTGACGCCCGAGGGGGCGTTGCGCGGAGATTGGGCATGGCACTACGTAGTCGCTCCACATAACTGCAAGGCTCAAAAAAAGTTAGCGTGTTTGAAGGAGACAATAACTCACCGGGCAGTCGTAGGGAGGTTCCGTAGACAAGATCAGCCGCAGTGCAACCGATGTCGGCCTCGAGAGTGGAACGGAGGGACAACAGCACCAGGGGAAGGTGATCAGACCATGGGGAAGGATCGGGCTGGGACATAAGGGAAGTCTTCAGTTGTCGATGGAAGCGTTCGACGAGACCATTTGCTTGAGGGTGATACGCTGTTGTTCGGATTCGGTTGGTGCCGAGAAGGGATATGAGTTCGCGAAACAGCATGGACTCGAATTGGGATCCGCGGTCAGTGGTGACAGTCGCAGGAACTCCAAAATTGGACACCCGATGAGTCAAGAAAACTTTCGCAACAGTTTCAGCACTGATGTCCGGAATGGGCGCAGCAACCGGCCACCGATTAAAGCGATCAATGCATGTCAGCATATAGGTAGAACCGTTAGATGGTGGCAGCGGACCTGCCAGGTCAATGTGCACATGACTGAAGCGTGCATCAGGAGTGGCGAAAGTTCCCGGCGGAGTAATAGTATGCCGATGCGTTTTGGCTCGCTGACATGATAGACAGGATCGGGTCCAAAGCCGTACATCCCGGTTGATGTTGGGCCAGACGAATCGGTCAGTGATGAGTTTCACTGTCGCCCGGACTCCAGGGTGGGATAGATTGTGAAGGGCGTTGAACACTTGTCGTCGTAAAGTTGCAGGGACAAAACGACGTTCATGTCCGGTAGAAAGATCACATGTGATGGTGCCAGTGCCAGTTGGAAGGGGGACATCTTGAAGGCGTAAAGAAGAGTCCTCGTGGCGGTATTGGGGAGTTCGACATCCGATCGTTGAGCCTCAGCCACGAGCGTGAAGTCTATGGCGTCTGTTGCGATGGAAGCCATCTCGATTCTTGAAAGAGCATCAACAACCACATTTTCCTTACCGTGGACATGTTGGATGCCGCAGGAAAACTGGGAGATGAAATCTAGATGACGAATTTCACGGGGCGATTATCGATCGGGAGAGGCCCTCAGAGCAAAAACGAGTGGATTGTGATCTGTTAGAACAACAAATTCACGACCCTCGAGGAAATGGCGGAAGTGCCGGATGGATAGGTAGACGGCAAGGAGTTCTCGGCCGAAGACACTGTAGCGGGTCTCTGTTGGGCTGAGCTTCTTCGAGAAGAAAGCCAAAGGCTGTAGAACACCACTAACAGTTTGCTGCAGTGATGCACCAACGGCAGTGCTGGAAGCATCTGTCATGAGAGTTAGCTGAGCATCTGAGCGAAAATGGGCAAGCAATGTTGCATCCGCAAGTGCGGCCTTGACGTCATTGAAGGACTTGACGGCCTCCTCGGTGATCACTAGTGTCTTATTGGAGTGAGCCAACAGGCTGTTGAGCGGCTGCAGTATGGTGGCACCATGGGGCAGAAAACGGTGATAGTAGTTCACCATCCCCAAGAATCGGCGTAGTTGGTTGATGGTTGTCGGGACGGGGAACGTCGATATGGCCGAAACTTTTGCCGGGACGGGCTTTATCCCATCTGAGTTCACTTCGTGACCAAGGAAGATAAGGCTGGGGACTCCAAACTCGCATTTAGCAGCATTGATTACAACGCCGAAGGAGTCGAGCCGTTCGAAGAGTTGACGAAGATGACTCTCGTGTTCAGCAGCGTTAGAGCTAGCCACCAGCAAATCATCAATGTAGGCGTACACGAAGTCGAGACCTCGCAGAACCTGATCAATGAATCGCTGAAAGGTTTGAGTAGCGTTCCTCAGACCAAAGGGCATACGAGTGAATTTGAATAACCCAAAGGGTGTGGTCACTGCAGTTTTCGGCAAATCACTGGCTTCGATTGGGATTTGGTGGTAGGCACGCACAAGGTCACTCTTGGAGAATATTCGCTTACCGTGCAGCGAAAGAGTGAAGTCCTGGATATGCGGGACGGGATACTGGTCGGGGACAGTCACAGAGTTCAACGTCCGATAGTCACCACACGGCCGCCAGTCGCCGCTCTTCTTTGGGACAAGGTGGAGGGGTGATGCCCAGCAGCTGTCGGACTGTCGGATGATGCCGAGCTCAAGCATGTGTTCGAACTCTGCCTTGGCAATCTTCAAACGGTCCGGATCAAGACGACGTGGTCGGCAGGATTTGGGATGTCCGGTGGTGGAAATGTGGTGGGTGACTGTGTGTTTGATGTCCACTTCACGGAATGAGGGGTTGGTCAGGTGGGGGAATTCCCTGAGGAGTGAGTGGAAAGGACAGTCGGAGATGGGCATAACAGTGAGAGGGTTGACACAGGGGTTCACATCGGATTGACAGTGTCAACAGCTGTCGCGCCCATTGTTCGACAAAATACAGCCGGTGAAGAGGGGGACTGGAGCGGCTGTTACACCCCCGCCCTTTTCCACGTCCCATTTGCTCCGCCCTTCTCCTCCTTCTGTAATCTGCTCTTTACCCTCACGGCCAGAAACTCCTACGGCAAGGCCGGCATGCGATCGCGTGGGCGGCCCAGGCCCCTCGAAGCTGGGTTCTGTCTGGTAAACACACCCCGGTAATCGCCTAGATCGACGGGTTTAACCAGGTGAGGTTATCCGTGTGTGTATCTCCATGCACGCTAACTCATTTCCCCTCCCCTTCTCCTTCAGCCTACTCCCCTTATCCGCTCCCTAGCCGCCCTTTTCCACCTCACTTCTCCTCCATCCTTCCCCCTCGCCTTCTCTCCCCGGTTATCCTTCCCCTTCTTATCCCACATTCCTCTCCCTCAATCCCTCTCCCCACACCTCCCCCGCCCTTCTCTGCCATCGCAACCCTCTTGCTCTACTATTCTTCCCCACGGTCAGAAGCTCCTACGGCGAGGCCGACGTGCGATCACGTAGGCGGTCCAGGACAACGTGCCGTTCTCTCACTAAACCTGTAGACCAATAGTGGAGAGCGACAACTGTCTGGTGCGACTAGGCAGTCCTATGTAACGGGAGCACTGCTTACACACGCGAGGGGATGCGGGCTATAAAAAGAGCCCCAAACAATGCTGGTTCACGACCTCTGCGCTCAGATCGTTGCTCGTAGGCTGCTACGCATACGGTCGCAACCTACAAACAAGAAACAATACTCTCTTCTTCCACCCCTTCGCCCCACCCCATCCCACAGCCTGCCAAGGTGAGTTTGCTAACTTTGGCAGCCTAAGATGTTTGTTCTTTCTTAGGCAATTCCAGAGGCAACTGACCGGAGCGCAGGACGACGCCAGTCACTCAGGGAATGGCGCGCTGCAAGGTGGATATTGCTACATTCACCAAGACCCCGTTCTCTGAATAAGGCCAACTGGAAGAGGTGGGAGCTGAATACACCTTCTTCTGGAGCGGCTGACCCAGGACAGAGCGACGACACGCGGGCGTCGCCCTTGCCATGCAGAAAGACATCGCGGAACGACTGCCCTGTCTGCCGCAGGGCAACAACGCTCGCCTGGTGAGCCTGCGTCTGCCTATTCAGCGATCCAACTTGCCCACCATTACCACAGCCTACGCCTCAAAAGCAACCCGACTAGTACGAGGCAAAGGCAACGTTCTACGACGACCTGCACGCTGTCCTGGCGCCTGTGCCGAAGGCAGATAGGTTGATTGTCATTGGTGACTTCAATGTCCGCGTCGGGATAGACTGCGCTGCCTGGAGGGCAGTGATGGGTCCTCAAGGAATCGTCGGCTGCAACGATTATGTCATCCTTGTCGTGCGAACCTGCTCTGAACACCGCCTCCTGCCGACCAGCATCTTTTTTCGCATGCCGTTGCGGAAGAAGCCCACCTGGACGCACCCCCGATCGTGGCGCTGGCAGTTGCCGACCTATGATCTCGGCCGACAGCGGGATCAGCAGGAAGTGATAGTGGCCAAGGCGATCTTTGACGTTGATAGTAGGACGGACTAACCCTTCGTTACCTCCAAGATGAGGCTTCGTCTTCAACCCTGCAGGAGGCCACAAGTTCAGCGACCCCAGGTAGGCTGAATACTGCTTTTTGTTTCTGTCAGCTCACCGTTTGCATTTAAGCAATCAACTGACCCAGGCGCCAGAGGACCTGCCAGCCGCAGGTAAAAACGCCTCCGTGGAAACTCTATGGTGCAAAATACAGGACGCCGTTCACTCGACCGTCCTGGGTGCCCTCGGATGCGCACATCGCCAGCACTAGGACTGCTTCGATGACAACGACGCAGTCGTTAGTAACCTGCCTTCCGAAAAGAACAGATTGGCGAAAACGACGCATCCATCAGCAATCAGATCGTTGAAAAGAAGAGGATGCACTGAGCCTACATTAACCTCCCGACTTATGCAAACCAAGCGGCCTTCTACCAATGTCACCGCCTTGTGCAGCAGCTACCGCAAGGAAATCAGGACTACGAATGGTTCGCATGGCCGAGGAGATCCAGGGATACGCTGACCGCCACGGCTCAAAGAGTTTTTTCGCTGCGATCAAGACGACCTACGGCCCCAACCAAAGGAACTGCGCAGATTCTCAGTTCCGATGGATAAACGCTTCTGATGGAAAGTTCGTCGATTCTGAAGCGCTAGGCTGAGCATTTCAGAAACGTCTTCGCCCGTCCCTCAGCAATCGCCAATGCCCGCATCGACCGGCTCACCCAAATGGAAATTAACGTCAACCTGGGTCCCCTGCCCTCTTTCCCAGAACCCATCCATGCTGTACAGTAACTCCTCGGTGGAAAAACACCAGGCTCCGAGGTAATCCTAACCGAAATCTACAAGCACAGCGGCCACCAACTAATGGACCAACTCACCACGCCATTTCAGGACATGTGACGCTGCGGACAAGTCCCTCAGGATTTCAAGGACGCAACCATTGCTCACCTCTACAAGCTCCAAGGGAACCGGCAAGTCTATGGCAATCACAGAGGTGTCTCGCTCCTCAACATCGCTGGGAAGATAATCGTGCGCATCCTCGTCAGTCTCCTCGACGGGTGCCATGAGCAAGGACTTCTGCCGGAGAGCCAACAGAGCTTCCAACGACAACGATCACCACCGATATGGCTGGTGTTTGCCGCTCGCCAATTACAGGAAAGGTGTCAGGAAATGCGAACCCATCTGCAAACTACCTCCGTGGACTTGCGAAAGCCTTCGCCACGGTGAATCACGCGGGACTGTGGAAAATTATGCAGAAATCCAGCTGTCCTGAACGATCCACGCAAATGGTAAGTCAGCTAGAGCACGGGATGTTGGCGCGTGTTACGGACGACGGCGAAATCTCCAAGGCATCCGTAGTGGTCAATGGAGTGAAGCAGGGCTGCGTCCTTGCGCCTATCCATTTCTATATTGCGTTCAGTGTCATGCTGATGAACGCCTACCGTAATGAACTTCCCGAGATACGCATCACCCACAGGACTGACGGCCATCTTCTCAACAGCAGACACATGCAGGCACCCACGCGACTATCTACGACCACAGTCCACGACCTGCTCTTCGCCGACGATTGCGCGCTCAACAGCACCACCGAAGTGGACATGCAACGGAGCATGTACCCTCTGGCTGCCGTGTGTGCCAACTTCGGACTGACTATCAAAACGGTTGTCGGGCACCAACCGTCACCCAACACGCAACACTGCACTCCTCCTCAAATCGCTGTCGACGGCAACCAACATGGACAAATTTGCTTATCACGGAAGCACTCTTTCCAACGGCATAAGAATCGTCGAAGTGGCCCATTGGATCTCCAAGGCCAGCCAAGTCTTCGGACAGCTGCAGAACTCTGTGTGGAATCGTCACAACCTCTAACTGAATACCGAACTGACGATGTACAAGGCCGCCGTGATGACACTTCTCTAAGGAGCAGAGACCAGTGCCGTCTACTCCAAACATGGCAAGAACCTCAACCACTTCCATCTCAGATGCATTTGCCTCCCCTCCTCAATGCCAACGGTCCGACGAAGGTGCTGCCGTTAATACTGCTACATTAACCACTAACATGTTAGACGAGGAGGAATGTACTCAGAGGGAAGCAAGCAAGATTAGCAGCTCATAATGGCAAATGGGCCAATGCGGACGCGGATGATGGCTGCCAAAGTCCAAACCACGACCTCCAACGAGAGACATGTAAACTGACAACAGCGACCCTCCGCCACCCGTCACCGCGGCGAAAACAGAGATGCTGCATGTGCGGGAGACGTGGCGATCCAAAATTCTGCACACCCGTCCTACCTGCTCTATCAACTGTTAAGAGAAACCTGCTTAACAAACGCCGTGTTAACGAGGCCGTAACCTCTCCCTCCACGCCAAAAATACCGGAAGGCGTGATACGGTACTCGTATCCGGCGATGGAAGTTTATTTATTTTTGAAACGCCTGGACAATATGTTTACCGTTCCCTTTCCTTTTTATTTGTGTCGGGACACGCGTCCGCGCTTTCATTGCCAATAAATATGATTATTTGTTTGTGATATCGACTGCAACAAATATGAAACTTACAAGTGTCCCTTGGGATAAGCCAGGTCGTGAATTCCTAGTGAATGTGTTTATAGCGCTTGTGATCTAGCTACATCCCTATCCACCAACACAATTCCTCTTCTCTGAGGTCAAGGCAAATTTGGGACAAATGACGGTGGGTGTGGGTTAAGTGGTCTGTTACGCGTCTCGCATGCGGCCTGGTCCGTTGCCATACATATGTCAGGCTGCATTCTGCGATGCGTGTGATCACACATAGGTGAGATGGCATTAATGCCACATTATGAAGACACTATCACAGCCTGCTTCACAGTCTAGAGCAGAACCGAGTCACCGTGTCCTTTGAAGCCCAATTATGTCACGCCTCTTAGCTTCTCATGATTTATTCAAGTACATTCATAGTATAAGTGAGAAACGAATTAATGAGCCGTGAGGATGGATTTACCCATTGTCAGCTTTACCTTTATTCCCTCATGTTTGTTTGAGCGGCCTTCCCGCTTCGAACCGACTGTAATTCTGACTGAATTCAGCTGTTGAAGCGTTGTAAACCGACGCCAGCCTTCTTGCATCTATCGGTTCCCATTGTAGTTAATTCGGGTCGCCATAATAGCCGTATTATGGATGACCCTTTGTGGAGAGTCGCTGTCCTCATGACAGCGATATCGAAATCAGATGGCCGCTTTCCAACGTAATCAGTCTTCACAAGATCTACGCCCACAACAGAAGACGTATCAATATATCTACCTTCATACAATGACAGAACCCATGGCAGAAATTTGAGATAGATGCAATATTGCTGACTGACTTGTAAGGTTCAAGAAGCGCTGTTATCGTCAACAGT